AGTAGGAATTTGAGAGTCCCTGCTGGATGTTTCTATGGTTACTCAAGCTGGGGACACCCCAAGGCATGGACACAGGGAAACTCTTGAGTTAGTGGGGAAGGGAAGCTCACTTTGGTAGAATAATCTACCTAGGAGAATAACTGAATAACGAATATATCTAATTGATTATCTCATACTCTAAACCATTTGTCGAGTTAGCTTCCAGTGGTGGCTGCGTAGAATTGTTTCTGTGTCGTGTGATCTAAACAATTCCATACCAACTCCAATAAAAGCGTTGGTAAGTCCAAAACTCTAAAGTAATTTAAAATATGGCAGACATTTGTGGAATCATTAAAAACAATCTTAATAATCGCTGTGTTTCTTAAATGATACATTATTGATGTTATTTACTTCAGGCCAAAAGCCCTAACATTGTCTAGTGACTTCTCAAATGTGAATATTTGCTTGTTCTCTTCGTTGATATTAAACTTAATAGCATTTGGTTGTGGACTGTTGGTTGGACAAATAAAAAAGGTTTCTACTGTTTACTGGCATTTTATGAATAATCCAGCCAAGAAAATAATGAACATATTGGTTGGTAAGGATACTAATTCATAGTTGTAGCCTTATTTGTATGCTGAGTGGGTGGTGTAGACACATTCATCCATCAGGTCTTTGCTTTCTAATGTTCTGCACTTCTATAGAATGATTTTGGAGCATGTGTTGGGTGTTGGGTGTTTTCATTCAGTATTAGAGAGACAAGATGGCCTTTCGTTGAGGGTCTTTCACCCTCTCTAATGGCACAAAAGCCTTCTCGATGACATACGGTCGTCACACATGCGTGGGGATGAATGTGTCCTCAGTGACTGGGTGTTACATCAGTATTTAGACTTTCCCCTGTCATCTGATTTACTGGGCTGTGGGGAAGTGCTTTTATTTTGAGTCCAGCGTTCTCTCTAGAGGCGTGTCATCTTTCAGTTAAAGGGTTGCTTGACAGAGTATTTTTAGGTGTGTTTATTTTGAAGTAATCACCCTAAGATGCTTCTGTCTTTCTTTCGGATGGTTTGCCATCACACCGCATTACACTCATCCTTTGTCTGGGTGGGACTGTGTGTCACTTCATTGTGGATCACCGTCAAGAAGCACAAGTTGATTGTGGTTAGTTTACATGTTGGAGTAATCATGGATATCCTCACATGAGGGAGTTGATAAAAGCTATCATGATAGAGAATTGAATAACAGAGCAGGGGGTGAGTATTACAGGAATAATTTTCCTGTCCTAACAGACGTCGCTTTTTCAATATATGTATACTTTATGTATTCAAGGAGAACTTGTGACGATGTATGATTACCTTATTTAGTGAGTTTATTTTCTACTAAAAAGGATGTTCACACAAAAAAAGTCCTACTTAACCGAAGATAACGTGATTCAATTTGAGGATTATTAGGATAATATCATAAATGCAATTAATGTGGCCAAAATGATTGTAAAACATTTACACAATGCCCCATGTCTAGTGCGTCCAACAGGTGGCCATCTCCAAGCCTTAACATTTCAAGATTTCTCTTGGTCTGTTTGCTGTTTGTCCATATTCTCTCAGTTTGTTCTGTCCCTGGTCTCTTTCTACCCAGCCTCCCCTGCCTGTCTCACTGGCATCTCCCCCTCCCCCTGGCCCCTGTCTGTCTTGTTTGATATAAATATCGCGTCGGGCTGGCTTGATGGGGTAGGGTTTCGTTGAGGGGCTGTGGCCAGTTCTGCTCTTTTGCTCCCTGGCTATAAACAGGTGAGCTGTGGACCCTGGAGGCCCATCATCATTGCCCACATGTTAATAGAAAAGATTAGCCAGCACTGCTCCCCCCGCCCCCGCCCC